AGGATACAAAAAGCTCCTAGAGACTGCGTTCACGTCTCTGTATCCATTCAAATACAGTTAACACAAAACAACTTCAACTACTCTGAATGTAGGGTAGCCAATTTCCAAAGGGGAGAAGAGTTTAAAAAAGGAATGAAATAGCATGTTAACTTGTTTGGTTGTTTTGCTTTGTTTGAATGGAGCAGCCAATTCATGTCTCTTGACAGCACCTTCGAAACCTATACTGAAGTTTTAAACATAGCATGAGAAGAAGCAAACAACCGCAATTCAGTGAAACACATCTCTTCCTTCTGGGTCTTGTTTGAAAGAGATTACGAGTGAGGTGGAGCAGATGGATGAGGTATTTGTTGAACAGGAACAAGGCAACAGAAAGCAGTTTGAGACCCCCACACAGCTCATCTTTACTCTAGAATCACAAAGGCAGTGCAGCTGTTTTATTAATAATGTCTCATATTTTAGTGTTTTGATCAACTCCTTAAAACAAGAGGTCCAAGACACAGACACATATCCCCGTACAGTACCCAAGGTGAAGGCCAGGATGTTCTGGCACATCAGTCATGCTCCAAATTACAGCATCAGCTGCACCTAAAAGCATAACCAGTGAAAATGAACTTCTGTCAACGCAGCTGATAAACTACCACGACACCATGAGGGAACACATCACATAAATCCTACGTAATGTACCCTGTGACTGTATTTGGCCATGACAGCTTTGAATACAGCTGAACTGCACTGAAAGAACCCAGATATAAAAGTATTTTTCTTCTATCTCCAAAGTAACAAATGAAACCCTAAATTCCTTAACAATAATTGCTTTGAAGTTTTACACAACTGTATATATGAGAGATGTAAATAAGACATGTACAAAGCTTCTTAATTTCTGTTACAAGGATTTGACTTCTGGAGCTAATTCCATGTAAAAACACATGTACTATTCTGAACAGCACGGGAGTTGGGAATCCCCAGTGTCTCAGACTGCTGCATTTTTCTGGTACAGGAGAAATGATCCCTTGTTCCAATACACCCTGGACAACAGAGACAAACCTCAACAGAGCACACACACCTCAGTGCCAGCGAGTGGGCGATGCATCTGGAGCAGGAGAGATGCACATTCGCTGTGTGCCTGTGGGGGTGGATGGAGACAGCTGCTGTCAAATCCCAAATAGGTAGATTAAGGAAAAAAGATATTCCTGTGCTTGCTTTCTGAAGGAGAAAAGACAAAGTTTCTACTCCACTGGAGCTGTAGTTACACACCATAGCTCCTCAGAAAGTTTCCCATGTTTTCTCAGGTAGTAGAGAACAGCCCATTTCAAAAGCAGACCCAGTGCCTCTGCAAACTGAATATTCTCACAGATTTTTCTTATAATTCACTTCTGTCTGCAAGAAAGCAGGAATTGCAAAGAACCTGCATAAACAGGAAGCGGTTCTGCATTGAAAGGCAATGCACCAAGAGCAACACACCCATACAAACCTCCAAGAGTCAGAGCTGAGGACTCAAGAAGTGGTGACAAGCAAAGTGCTTGCTCCACAGACCACAGATTTCACAAGACGAAAGGGACAACAGCTCATCTGTTTTCAGCTCATCAGGCTCCTCACAGGCTTTTCTGTGGCAGCCATGCAGGGATGCAATGCCATGCCAGGAGGTGGTGCAGGAACAAGCCTTTGAGCAGATGATTTAACCCCAGAACATTCATGCTTTACCCTTAGCAACTGCCATTCTGGCTCCTTCTACATATTTCCAGAAGGCTTCTTCCAAAAAGACTGTGTCTGCCAGCTGTGTGCGGACTTCTGAGCTGCTCTCAACACACAGAAGGAGAGGAGAAAAATTTAAAAGATAAATACAAAAGGCTACTTCTATTTGTAGTTCTTCAATTTAAGTGGTTTTGTATTTTAAGTAATATTTCCTTTCATTTTACCTCTCATATCTTAAACGATAGATTTTTTTTTTCCTTTTGAGACTCATGTTGATTTGGAGTTACAGGTCAAAAATCCTACCCAAAGTGCACAGCTTTAGGCAACTGAATCCAGTCAGAAACACTCCTAGTACACATTTTCGCTGGTTCCTACAGCTTCCAGTGCTTTATAATGAGAAACACCTCAAACAATAGGACTCAACAGTTACAGCAAGTAATTCCGCTGCTGTTTTTCCTCCCTTACATTTAATGTAGAGTTAATGATCTCTTTTCCAATTCTCAAAGGTTTTTTAACTTATTTAATTTGCTCTAAAAAACGCACTGACGTTGCTTTTGGAGATGAAGCATTGAGTGTAATCCAGAGCCTTTTCTCTCTCTGCTCCCTTTCTGAAAGTGTTTCTCAGCCCTTTGTCCTCCTTGACAGCTCCTGACAGTTTTATAGGTGAGGATGGCAAAGGCAAAGCTGTGTCAAATCCTACAGTGGCACTGGGGGCTGTCTTCTTGACAAATGCTTTTTGACAGTTGGTAAGGTAAGATACAACAAAATTCCTAATGTTTTTATACTGGAAGGATTTAAGCATCCTCCCGAAACCAAAATTCACAGAGTTTGCCACTCTTTC